TACTCTCAGGGTATCATTCAAGTTAAATATTAAAATGCATTCAGTTTGAAGTATCCCTACCTGCAAAATTGCAGCATATATGCTATTATTGTGATTGCTATTAACTGTACATAATTTTCTTGGGGAATATACAATGTAAATTTTATATAAAATTGTTATGATATTCGCCATTAATTGTTAACACTATACAAGGTTCACAATTAGCATAATATGTGTTACGAATAGCCACTTCCTCCTGCGTATACCCTGAGAGCAATGCTAGTAATTCCATCACCAAACGCAGATTAGTTAAATATATTACTTCGCCTTTCGTAATGCTTCCGAAATAACAAAACTGTTCGCAAAACACGGGCATTGATTTTACCATTTTTCTAAAAACAACAAATAGCTCGTATGGAATATCTGGCGAAATCTCCGAAGTGAAAGGATTCCTCGCATTCCGTCTGCTGCATAGCCTGCGTCGTATTGCTGCCAGCCACAATCTAGACACATGCTGAAAAACCACGGCTGAATTTATGGAAGACCTAGCAAGAATCTTTGCTGGGCCAAAAAGGTTACTATCGCGACTACCCGCCGTACGGCAAAGCTCCACTATCGGCCGAATTACTCTGGCCCCTTCCTCTAAAAGGTCACGGTCAGAGCACTGCAGCAATCGAGACAAGCACTCTTTAATATTCTCGCTAATACTTTCAACTTTTTGTTGACACTTGTCTCCTAAAACAACTTGGTTTACAACTTGTTCAGCAGAAAATTTTGTATTTGCCGCCGCCATTTTGTAAACACAAATGGGGAAGACCGCAGAACAAACTCACTTTGTTGCATAATTTCATTTGAAATACCGCAGGACAGTAGGAATGGCGAAATGGACGTTTCTCGGGAAAAAATGCCAAGCGTGTTGTATATTTTAGACATTAAAAACTATAACTACTTTAATACGAACATTATTCTCGCAAGTAATGCCATTGCTGTTGGATGATGCTATGCCAACAATAATGATTATAAATTACTTATGGAGTATGCTTGTTAGTCTCAATTGAACTATTTACAGATGGCTAGTATATAGAGGATTATAAAATCACAAGTTTTAAGATGAATCTGAGAATGTTGCTAAAATACAACTCAGGTCCTGCGGATGGAATAGAGGCTATACCTCTGCAACAATTTGTTAATTTATCACACTAATTCGCACCTGTTCAATAGCGAACGTCTATCAGTGCTTTGCGTAAACATGGCCATGCGTAAGCGTTTTGGCAGAGCGCCCTCGGCAAGCGCCAGAACTTGTATTTTTGCCGCGGTTTCTTCATCAGCTTCCTAAAGTGAAGTTCTAACTAAATATTAACAGATGATTTTAGGCACTTCACACGATGCCGGAATATTCTTGAGGTTTTAAAGGGTCTTAATTTCGAGTGGTATTATACGCACTTCAAATTCAAGCAGGGAACAGTTGATGGAAAAATGAGTCAACTGTACGTCCTCAGTGACAAGAGCATTGCACCGGCATCGCAAAAGCGTAGGTTCGATTCCTGCCGGAGGATCTATAGTTCACTCATTTTTCCGTCATCTGTTCCTGGCTTGATTTGAAGTGTGTATAATACCTCTCAAAATTAAGACCCTTTAAAACCTCTTAAATATCAACTGAACTAATATGTACATTCATCACGGCTAAAAAAATGCAGAGCGTTATAAATGACGTTCGTCAAAGGCAGAAAATTCTCAATGGATGAATGAATGAATAAAACGTACCTCGATTATCGCCTTCAGAACCATGCCAGCACCTTTCACAATTGTTGTCGACGGATGCTGAAATTGTTGAGGAACGAATTCAAAACCACGATTGGTAAGAACCATTAGCGGGGCAATAGTAAAACATACATAAGCGAAGAAATGGTAAAATTGGTACTATTATTTAGTTTTGTCGTAAACCTACCTGGAACAATCGATAAATGCAATGACCCATTTCTAGACAAACAAATAACAGACTTCATGAGTTGCTCCTATGCATGGGTCAAGCTAGTGGACGTGGTAAACTTCACCAAAAAGGTAAAGAGAGAAAGGCTATTTAATCAACTCTCAACCTCAGTCAAAGAGCCATAAACTACCAAGAAGACAAGTTGAATGAAAAGCTCCTCAAATTTCTTTGTAGCATACCTGCAACTTTCTCCAGTAATTTCCAAACTGTTCATCATCTGTTGTCTCACTAAGAGGAATATGCAATAGTCTATTTATTGTAACAGACTACATGAGTTGATTCAAAATATTGGAAGCAATCACACCTTACTATTAGTTTAACATGAATGTCCAACTTCACCCCCGTATTATTTTAATATATTGCAAAGCAACTAGAACAAACCTGTAAGGAGGACACAGAGCAAACGTCAGAAAATCAAGCAATCCACTTATAACTAAAACCCCAGTAGAACGAATATAGAAGAAAAGTTTTCATAGTTAATCTATTTCTTGTGTTTAGTTAGAAAGGTAGTTCAAATTAGAAAGGCAGTTCTTACGAATGACTTGCTGGGTTTTGCAAGGGAATTTCTCTTCCAAAACAAAGCTATATACATACAAGAGGGATGGAAAGATAAAATGCAAGGGTTCAGCATAGATTATAGGCAACCAACACCGCACATCTTACCACATTTATCGTGAGAATATCCAACAAACTGCTTTTAGTAAAAATAACAAAAAGCTTTTGTTTATCTGTTCTTGTCGAATGTCATAGTTATCGTGCGTTGGCTATATAAAAAAAAGAATTGGTTTCGATAAAATTGGATCCTGTTAACATTCAGATTTCAAAGTTGGCTGAGTTTATGTGGATTGCAAGTTAAAGGGGTAACACTAATGATAGTGACAGATTTGGCAACATATTACCAGGAAATTCATCGTTAAAGTGTTGGCGCTTTCCTTTATACGGAAAAAACGGCCAGACCGGTCCTATTGTTGATCTCGGTACAGACAGATTACTGGTATTTTAGAGTGTTTCAAGAACTCTGCGTTCAAGTATATCGTTACTTGCATCTGTCTAGCTCGGAAATTTCGCAACTATATTCTTAACGAAATACTCTATTTTAAATTTAAATATGACCGGTCTGACCATTTTGGCCGCTTAAAGGAAAGCCCTCTCTTTACCTGCATCAGAGCACACAGCATGTCGACAGCGGCGTGAGTCACGGCTTCATTATTCCTCTTCAAAGCTTTCACAGTTTTCACACCAACCTTCTCATAGAAGCTGTAAAAACAAAACAGAAACACGGTCTAGAGAAAGTGAGCTGGTTGAGTAAACAGCGTGTGTTGTGGTTAAAGATAAACGTTTCTCACCTAGTGAGCGTTGTGAAACCTGCTTTGGATCCAACCTAATGTCTCAAAGCGTGAAACAGTGCTTCGAGATCTTTATCTGATATTTTGTTTTGGTCTCCTGCAAATAGACGAAACATTTTAACTATTTTTTGTACATATTGAACACCTGTGAAGGTAATAGCAGTCAGAATATGTATATTTTAGGGGTGAACACTAAATATATTTATTGGCAAAGATATACAATACCTTCGTGAGCAATGAGCATTGTGATGGCATTAATGATAAATCTTTCTTTATTCTCCGGGAAAAGTCCTTACAAAATATTTAAAATCGTTTGAAATATATATTGGAGTTTAAAAGACTTAATATTCCAGCCGTACTTCTGGCGAGAAAATTTCAAATCTACCATTTCATGGATTCGGACCCAGTCAACTCAGCAACCAGAGTTACCGCATTGTAGTCCCTAAGCCTCTTAACGTTCCTTATACGCGGCGAGGCGGGAACTGAGAGGCCTAGAACAAAATGTTTTGTATTTTGGCTATTTTGTCCCCACTTTCTGTATTGAGGTCAGTTTACGATCCACGACGCGGTTAACTGGCCTTGTTCGACGTCGCTAGTCAAATATTTGCTTGAAATAACCTGCGGGATATTAATTATACTGTCAGGACTTCGAAATATCCATACAAACGTTTCAATGTCATTTGCTGTCGACGCTATCGACTATCAAGTAAACTCGAGTCCGTACGTACATGGTTATGATTATAATAAGCTTCAATCTGCCAATTTAAATTATTCTCGCTTCCTTTATAACGATTATTGTTGTAAATCTAGGTCAACTAATGCATACTAAAATATGCAGAAAACTAACGTGCGTATGAAAAACACGTGAGTGGAAAACAGCCTTAATCCAGATTTTGACAGAACATTAAAACTCAGTAAAAATGCAATAATATTCTCTACACAGGATTTTGTCTGCAGAAAAGTACAAAATAAGAAATTGTCAACTTACGTCTTGGGTGACTGCATGAAGTAGACCGCTGTAGGAAATATTGCAGTTAAATCTCTACACATCTTCGGTTAAATTTCCTGCAAGGAACCAGTAATAAGACAATATAAGCTTTTAGAGATATTTCAAAAATTTAAAGTGAAATAAAAAGAGAAATATTTCACCTGGAGACGCAGCGAGGAATTTTAAATGACTGCTTTCTACTTCTTCGTCAACAACGTTATACAATGGACCCCAACGATAACCTTGATAAAATATATCATCTTAAAAAAACAATTCTTCTTTTGCTGTATGTGATGTATTGGACTGACTAATAGGAATACCTGACGAGAAGTGTAATTGTTTGTGTGTTATATGTGATCCCATACGTCAGGAGGAGAATGAAATGAGGGTTCGTATTTACGGCAATCATAGCAGTGCGAGATTTTCATCAGGAAAATTTTGACCATAATTTTCGCTCAATCATCTATGAAAAAGCGTACAGTCTCTTCGTTGGGGTCGTTTTTACACAAACATCTCCATTTCCACTGCCTCTAACCCCGTGTAGCTAACCAGCCAATGATATATCCCTAGATTGGGTGAAATACAAACATTCAGAACAAGAAATATTTTATATAGCTTCATACAAAATCTGCTTTTTTAAACTACCTGTCGGAAGACGAGTAATTTCTCAGCTGACCGCTTGTGTATTCCAGCCCGAACAACTGAGGATGGTCTCGATAGCTAATTATTGAAAATATCTGACAGAAAAAGAAGTTTTAAAACTATGATATACTATAATACACAAGTCTTAACCAAACGGTATATTCTGGAAAGTAACTGCAAAAATAAAACTATTTTAAGTCGGCTGGATACTTTTTTGCAATTGGACATGTTCAAAATGGAACCGTGAAATAAAAAAGATGATAAAAGCAGTAAACTTGAATCCAGGTCAGAAGACATGGAGTGTTTGGAGTGTTTGGAGTGTTTGGAGTGTTTGGAGTGTTTGGAGTGTTTGGAATGTTTGTTTTTTTTCTTTCAAGGTCTGAGATGAACAATTACTGGAACTGACATGGAATGTCGCATGACTTACTGAGCTAAGGGGATGAAGGCTGACGATGTTGAACATATATTATAGCAATAATAGTTTATAGTTTATTATATATTATAGTAATAGAGTTGATGTTCGCGGGCATAAATGTGTTTTTGGCCCTCCTCGCGGAACACATTTTAACCCTCGCTACGCTCGGGCTAAAATGAGTTCGAAGTCGGGCCAAAAACACATTTATGACCGCGAACATCAACCCTATTGTTACATTATTATCACTATAAAAAACACATGAGTATATACAAAATTAGTAAAATACAATAATTAGTAAATACAATAATTAGTAAATACAAAATTAGTAAAATACAATAATTAGTAAATAGATTTGAATAAATATAGTTCACCTGGTGCAAGGCACTTTTTAATGATAACTCCAAGCTTATACTTTCTGGATAATTTAATACATTCTATAGGGTTTAATGATCAATATAGGGATAAGTATCATAAAATTGTTTGGCTGTTGGGGTGTATAAACTATCAAAACTACAAAATTATATCCTGTCAAAATTTCGAATTTCTAAAATAATGCCGGGTTTATGGTCATTTGAATTTGCTTGCTACTTTTATAATATGCAAAAAAGTAGACGGTAGACACTGATTTTAAGTTCAAATTTATAATATTTCGAAAATATATTATGCATTATTAATTATATAACATACCTTGAATAAATTTGAAGTTTTACATGATTCAAGAACATTTTCATTTGTATACCGAACTGTTTCGCCTTTGGATTTGATTCCGTTCATTAGTCAAAGTACACTTCAAGATGTCGGGCTTCCCTTCAAAATTGTCGAGGCCAGGGATATGACGGTGCTAGTGCTGTGTCCAGCCAGGTAAAAGGTATTTCTGGGAGAATATAGAGAAAAACCCGAAGGCGTTGCATGTTCATTACTCCAGTCATCGTTTAAACCTTATTGTTGCCAAAGCGTGTTCAATTCTTCCAGTGAAAAATATGTTGAGTCAGGCACAAAATATCGCCAGCTTTTTTATCAGTTTCCCTATCCGCTCACAGTATCTAAGTAAAAAGATGAAAGAGTTTGGTTTAACCCGTAACAAGCTCGCAAAGCCTTCCACGACACGATGGGTAGAACGAATAAGATCCCGCGATGGTTGTTTGGATGCATTCAAAGTTATCTACAAAACACTCAATTTTATGCAGTTTGGAGGATCGCAGGAAGGGCCATTTCCTAGATTAGCTAGTGACGCACAGTCTCATTTTCGCAACGTGGAGAAATTTGAATTTATGGCTGCTCTCATTATCACCCAACATGTTCTGGATCATACTTTGTCATTGACGGTCCAATTAAAGAAGAAAAAAAATCGATATTGCGGAATCAATAAAACAGATTAATCTTTTAAAGGATGAAATGGCAAAACTACGTGCCTCTGTAGATTTATTCCACAATGAATACTACGACAAGCTGTTGGAATTAGCTAATAACCTCGACGTGGCTGAGTGTTTTCCCCGGGTATGTAAAGCTCAAACAAAATGTGATAATCATCGTACCAGTACAGCAGGTGGTTACAACAGATTAACAGTAACCATTAAGAGTCGTGCATAGGCCACGTGATAACGAAACATTCTGAGCTCATCAATGAACAATTGTAAAGGTTTTATTGTAACTCATAGGAAAACCTAAGGATATATTTTGTAAAATCTATTATATTACGAGTGTCTTTCCCTAAGTCTACCGACCCCTGAATTCCCCACGCTATCGTCACCCTGTAATAAATAAGTAACGTTGCAAGTCCTCACCTTCAACCACAAGGATTAAATTACGTAATTCGAAGTGCAAAATTGAGATTACCGGTTTCTGAGTTTACCGGTTTATAATGCTCAGTATTTAATAATCCGTATAAGACCAATTTATCATTATTATTACTTGACTTACGGATTCATTAAGTTTATCCTCGTCTTAACTCAAAAAAGTTTTCAAAGGACTTGCATCCAGAAGGGATTTACCAGGAACAGGCTAAAATTAAACAGATGTTGAGATTAATGCACGATGATGATTCGTGATCTTAAAATTGCTACCTTTTGAAACTCTTCACGAGTTAATAAGCCTTGACTGTTCCCTGTGAAAGAAAAATAGGTAAATATAGTCATATTATAATATATATTTCCTCCATATTGCAAAGGTAATTTCGCTTGCCTTCAGTTTCTTCCTTGTGTAAAACAGTGTCTTTGGAATCTGGTACGACATCAATCTGAAACGATTGTAAAATGAAAAAGCTAGTCTAAATCAAAGATCTCTTTCTTTTCTGCTTCCCCTGCCAGTCATGTTAGTAGCAATATAAGGGATGGATAGTGAATGTTCTTGCACGAAGTAAATTTCATGCAAAGCGAGTTTGAAGAGAAATTCTTACCATAAAAGCGCTTGGTCCATATCTCGGACTACGACTCAAATATCGAGTTCGTTGAAAAATGCCGAACCAAGATTCAACTTTTGCCCGGAATCTTGTAATAAAATCGACGAGGGTGAAGATCTGCCGTGTTCTGTAAGCAGCATCTTTTGTTCTGCGCTGTCTAAAATGTTGGCAGATAATTTGTTCATTTCGTAAATGCGCGAACAATGGCCGATCTGTTTTAACATTACAAACCTGACTCCTTGAGTTCGGTTTTCTTCATTTCAACATCATCCCGGGTATCTTCAATATTAGTTTCCTCATCTTCTCTACACGATGCGAGGCGATCTTTGACAAGATCTACAATCAATGTACGCTGTCTGTGCTCTTGCTAAGAAGTTCTGTTGTAGTTTCAAGGCGTTGTCTGGCTCCTTCTTTAATGAGTTCGGCCGATAAATCATCTGAAATACAACAATATCAATTTGACATTCCGCCAACGGAATGCTTAACCAAAACATTGAACAGGTTTTACCCATCGTTGACCTTACCAAAGAGTTGTTTTGGAATTAAACTTTCATAAATCTCAGTCTTTCCCACCGCTGGTCGTCACAAGATGTTTGAGTCACAAGATTTCTGTATGAGCCTACGTACCAGTGGGCTTTAAATCGCGGGTAAGAAGGTCAGATGCTTTGGTATCGAATTTTGTCTTTGGCACCTGGCTAGAATCATCTGCACGAGTTTTTCTATCAGTTGAAGAGCCTGGAAATGACAAATACGTTCCTAAGAGCTTTCACTAGAAGAATATTAAAACTTGGTCGCTCTTGCAAATATATTATTGAAAATTCAGCAAGCAATCCCCCTGGCAATAGAATGACATGTGGACTTACTTTCGTAATAAATGGCACGAATTGTTTTCTTAACAATAGCGGACAGTTGACAAACCAGGATGAAATGACATTATCAGCAAGAGCTACAGTGTATTGAGAGTATCTAAGGTGAAACATATCAGTTCGTTTATATTTTAATCATTTTGACAAAACCAATAATAAAAAGTTTCAGATGTTATCGCGTTGAGCCAACTTCGATGATTCTGTGTAAGGCAAACATATTCCAAAGACTTGTTTCAACTGGATCGCTGTGAAGTTTTTGTACAAAGCACAAAGCTGTTACAATGCGATTTAAACGATTTAAAAGAATGTTACCAACTTTTCGCCGAATACGATTGTGTGTTTACACAACCTAGCTCTCTTTAGGGGGTACATTGATATTTTGTAACAGATTTCATAATTTACGTAACTTCAAGAAACATACCAGAGGGAAATTCTAGCAGTGGTATGGCAACTTGAGACGTTGGCGAAAGTTTAGTAAACTTTTCCAGATATTGTGGGAGCAGTCTAAGGACAGAAAATTTAGTAATTATTACTTAAAAAATCATATATTTGTGAAGGAGTATCTCGCATCACAAGAGACGTTACGTTTAGGCTGAAGTTTATTGAAAAACGTTTCTGTAAATTCACTGAGCACATTATCAAGGCACGATTTCAAATATCTCCAAAGAAATAAACTTCTAAAACGCTGCAACTACTTAAATCAACTTCATTCTTACAAAGTGCTAATGGACATAAAAAACGTCTCAAATTCCAGACTATTTTAAGTAGCCATACCTTGCCATAACTGAAGGCATTTCTAACATACATATGGTGAGACAAGATACGCTTAACGTCGCGAAATGAGCAACCAAGTACGCATTAGACAACACTAGACGAAATATACAACAACGTTTAAGCAAGAACAGACAACCGCTGAAAATAAAGTCACGCAGATTCTTACCTGTTCATCTTGACCAATAAAAATGTGGTACGTACACAGCTCCGTTAATACCTGCACGTGTTACAATAAAATATCAAATTAAATCATTAGTATGGTATGATATAATTATGGTATAAATTGGTTATGGTATGGTGGGATATAATTAAGGTATGATATGCATGGTTATGGTATGGTATGATTTCGTTATGGTATGGTATGGTGTGATATTATTATGGTAAGATATGGTTATCGTATGGTATGATTTAGTTATGGTTAGTTATGGTATGATATGATTATATGATATGATTATATGATATGATTTATGATATGATTATATGATATGATTATATGATATGGTATGGTTATGGTATGGTATGGTTTTGGTATAATTATGGTAAGATATTATGATATATGCAAAAAACTGATTGATAAGAACCGTACTGGAAAAATTCTAGCGTACAAATGAGGTCGGCGCATATCGTTAGGAACACGAAATAATCCAGGAAGAAAATCGTAATTTGAAACCTGAATGCAAAGTAAAATTTTTAGTTCATGATTTTGGTGTGAAAAGTACACAACTTCACTTCCCTTCCCATTTTAGAGAAGACTGTAGATATTGAACGTAAATATTGCTCTCCAGAAAGTATCAAGTTTTTATCTTGCAGTGCCTCTGGAAAGTTCCTCAGAAGAACATCCAGCACCTCCCATTCCAATTCCTAGAAAATGAAGAAAGTTGAACTTCAATCGAAACTTAATGCCAGATGATATATTATGATAGAAAAGTTTACCTGTTGTAAGCACACAAGAATAACATTCATCGCCTCGCTGTAAGGCAGTGAAACAGTCCCGTTTGTCTTATCTTCTGCAGAACTAAAACAAAAATGAGAATGTATTACGCAAACAAGAAAAGGAATTTTGGAAGCAGATTACCTGACATACGTGGCACTATCGTCATTAACCAACATTTTCTTTCAGAACAAACAAAATACGAAGTGAATTAAACTTTTCTACTTTTGTCTTGCACAAGGCCTAGACGTTGTCAGCTCGCAGACTGAGGAAACATTGAAGAATCTTTAAGAAAACACAATGTGAGACATCATAGAAAAATCGCGAGAAATAAAATTGAATTTGCCTTACCGAAAGCCGTATTTCCGATGCACTATACGTCCGATAGCCATTGTCATAATGAGTTTTTATGTGGTACACTAATATATTGAATATTCGTTCGGCTCGTTCTTGAGGTTTACGAAACAATTTCATCTGCAAAAATAGAATGAAATTACTGAAAGAGAAGCAAGTGTGGCATTAAATTACACTTATTTTTGTTCACGAAAATAACTTCATCACAATGAACGAATATGTGTGGACAATCTCTGCATGTCCTTCATTACCTTGAACAAGCGTACTAATCCTAATACAGCCTCCTTGATGTCTTTCTATGCTGTTTCATCCTGAGGCTGCAGCAACAAAGACAAATTACAGTGATTAGATGTAATTTTATGTCTCTAGATGTTCCTACATATACCTTGCAGTCTCTATAATTACCTTACATGTTCTTTACATGACGGCTTAACGTATCGCTTGAGAGGATCAACTGGACAGTGGCAATCTGGAATTGATAAATGAAATATATATCCTTTTACTTCACTGATGCGTTTGCATTCACGACCCCCGTGTAAAACGATCCAATTTGCGGA